TAGATCAAGTGGTTTACTTTGTTTCTTGGTCCAAGAGAACTCTTTCCTGTTAGTCATAAAGTAAAATTTTCTTTAATTAATAATGTCTGTGGGAGGAAGGGGAGTGCTGGTGGTGTAGTACCTAAAGCATTTGACTAATAACCAGAAGGCTGGTGGTTCAAATCCACCAGCCACTCCTTGGAAGGAAGGTTGAGCAATTTACTTCTGTAGTGATACCACCTCAGAAACCCAAAGAGGGTTTGCTATGACTTGGGAATGACTCGATGGCAGTGAAGTTTTTTTTTTTTTTTTTTTTTATGGTAGGCAGAGAGTTTTCCATCTTCCTCCAAATCTTTTAATTTGCTGTTGTATCTGATGGGCCATCATCTTGGGCATCTTCCTTCCTTTTTCCCCATTATCCAACCAACTTCCAAGTGACACCACCCCCTCTAAAGTTAGCTTCATTTCTCTCAGAAGTGATGCCTCTGGTCTCACTCATTTCCTTTTTACTTCCCAGTAGTCATTGCTCAGGAGCTCTGGTGGTGTAATGCCTAAGGCATTTTACTGCTAACCAGAAGGCTGGTGGTTCAAACCCACCAGCCACTTCTTGGAAGGAAGACTGGACAATATATTTCTGTAGAGATACCACCTTGGAAACCCAAGGAGGGGTTGCTATGAGTTGGAATCGACTTGATGGCAGTGAGTTAGAGTCATTGCTCAGATTTATCAGGTATCAGGCCTCTTTGCAGTGTTCTGAGTGAGATCAAAAGTCATTTGGTTTTAACTGGAATTCCACATTAGGTGACAGCCTGTAGCAGAAGAAAAATCTGAAGGATTTTGCAAGAGTCAGTTGACAGAGAACCTTCAATGGAGGCTTTGCAATAATTTGAGCAAGGAATAGAGGGATGTAAGCTATGACAGGAGGGAATGAGAAGGCAAACAGCTTTAAGAGCGATTCAGAAGGAAGAACCAAAATTACTTGGTGACTGATTTGATGTGGGACAAAGACAGAACATCTGAGTTTCAAGTTTGAGTTCCTGAATAAATAAACAGATGCATAGTGGTACTAACTGACTAAAACAGGAACTCTGGACAAGAGGTTTGAGGAGCAGCTAGAAAAGACATGTAGAGTCTCAAGTATACCTATCAGAATGCTAGAAGGCTCCAAGGAGAGCTCTGGGCTGGGTACATAGATCTAGGGGTCACAGATACATAAATGGTAGTTGAAGACCCAAGAACAGATGAAATCATTCAACAAGAAAAGAATGGGAGGGAAAGAGCAATGAGGACACTTGAGTCCAGCAACAAATAAGGAGTAAAGACAGCAAAAGTAACAGCAAAGAAAAAAAAGAATAAACAATCAGGAGAGCAGGAGAAAAGTTGAAGAGAAAGGCTAACAAAATGAAGAGAAGGATATAGTAAGAATAATTACTGTGATGGATCAACACACATAAGATATGTTAAATATATCATGTTATGTGTCGAGTCCATTCCAACTCCTAACAACCCTACAGGACAGAGTAGAACTGCCCCACAGGGTTTCCAAGACTGTAATTTTTACAGAAGCAGACTGCCACATCTTTCTCCCATAGGGTGGCTGGTGGGTTCGAACTTCTGACCTTTCATTTAGCAGCTGAGTGCTTAACTACTGTGCCAGCAGGGCTCCTTAAATATATCATAATGGTACTAAAAATAAAGATCTACTTGGTTGCTCCTGGAGAATGATTGGGCATCAACTCATTTTGAAAACTAGTGAGTAAAGAGAAAAGAAAAAGACAAACCAAACTCACTGCCATTGAGTCAATTCCAACTCATAGCGATCCCCATTGGGTTTCTGAGGCTGTAAATCTTTGTGGAAGTAGAACGCCCCATCTTCTTTCCACAGAGCAGCTGGTGGCTTTGAATTGCTGAACTTCTGGTTAACAGCCAAATGCCTTATCCACTACGCCACCAGAGCCCCTTAGTAAAGAGGAAAGAAGCCATTTATTCTGGCTTTCCTACATGAAGAATACCACTGGATAACTGATCATAAATGGGAGGGGATGGTTGTTTCTCATATAGAAGAATCTCAGCTAATAAATGAAAAGTAACAACATCATACTCCTAATGAACTAATAGATCTAGGCATCAAACATCACAAAAAATGAGAGAGAAAATCAGACATTATATGCCTCCTGATGGAAGAACATACAACCATCTATGAAAACTCAAAAACAAACAAACAAACAAACTCATGTCCACTGAGTCAATTCTGACTCATAGCAACCCCCACTGAGTTTCCAAGGTGGTAAATCTTTATGGAAGTAGATTGCCCAGTCTTCCTTCCATGGAGTGGCTGGTGAGTTTGAACCTCCAACCTTCTGGTGAGCAGTCAAATGCCTTAGGCACTGTGCTACCAGAGCTCCTTCCATCTATGAAGCTGTCTTGAGGGGGGAAAAAAAAAAGATAATCACATATTAATCTGATCTAGTTTCTTGGTCAGTGGTTCTCAATTAAGAGAGATCCCCTTCCCCAAAGGATATGTGGCAATGCCTAGATACTTCTTTTTTTTTTTAATGAAAACTTTTTGATTATGACTTGGAGAAAGGATGATACTGGCATCTAGTGGGAGAGGCCAGGGATGCTGCTAAACATCCTACAATGGACAGAATAACAACCCCCCCACACACACACAACAAAGTAAATATCCAGCCCAAAATATCAGTAGTGCTGAGGCTCAGAAACCCTGTTCTCAATCCAACCACCAACTGACAGAAAATACAGAATATGTTGTTGTTGTTAAGTGCCGTCGAGTCGTTTCTGACTCATAGCGACCCCATGCACAGCAGAACGAAACACTGCCCAATCCCGCGCCAGCCCCACAATCCCTGCTATACTTGAGCCCATCATCACAGCCACCATGTCAATCCATCTCGTTGAAGGCCTCCCCCTCTTTCTTTGACCCTCCACCCTACCAAGCATGACATCCTTCTCCAGGGAATGGTCCCTTCTTACAACATGACCAAAATAGGTGAGACGAAGTCTGGCCATTCTCGCTTCCAAGGAGCATTTTGGGTGCACTTCCTCCAGGACAGATCTGTTAGTTCTTTTAGCAGTCCATGGTACTTTCAGCATTCTCCGCCAGCACCACAACTCAAAAGCATCAACTCTTCTTCGGTTGCACATGCATACGAGGCGATTGGAAATATCATGGCTTGTGTCAGGCGCACCTTAGTCCTCAAGGAGATATCCTTGCTCCTCAGCACTTGATACAGTTCCTTCGCAGTTGACTTTCCCAATGCTACACATCGTCTAATGTCCTGACTGCTGCTTCCATTGGCATCGATTGTAGAACCAAGCAACGTGAATTCTTTGACAACCTCAAACTTCTCTCCATTTATTGTGATGCTGCTCATTGGTCCAGTTGTGAGGATTTTTGTTTTCTTTATATTGAGACGTAATCCATACTGCAGACTGTATTCTTCAACCTTCATCAGTAGGTGCCTTAAGTCATCCTCACTTTCAGCAAGCAAAGTTGTATCGTCTGCATATCTCAGGTTGTTAATGATTCTTCCTCCAATCCTGATACCACGTTTTTCTTCATATAGTCCAGCTTCTCGGATTATTTGCTCAGCATATAGATTGAATAAGTGTGGAGAAAGAATACAACCCTGACGCACTCCCTTCTTGATTTTAAACCATGTAGTGTCCCCTTGTTCTGTTCGAACAACAGCCTCCCGGTCAAGGTACAGATTCCTCATGAGTACAATCAAGTGCTCGGGAATTCCCATTCTTCTCAATGTTGTCCATAATTTGTCATGATCCACACAATCAAATGCCTTTGCATAGTCAATAAAACACAAGTCAACATCTTTCTGGTATTCTTTGCCTTGAGCCAAGATCCATCTGACAACAGCTATGATATCCTTTGTTCCATGTCCTCTTCTGAATCCGGCTTGAACCTCTGGAAGTTCTCTGTCAATATACTGCTGGAAACGTTTCTGAATTACAGAATATACAGAAATACAGAATATACAGAAATACAGAATATAGAGACATGGTAAATGACAACACAAGGGTACAGTCAGCTAATCCAGAATTTGGTATATTCTCTCAGATAAAGGACCCAGTTTCAACAAGTAGACTGCAAGGAGAGAGAAAGAGAGAGAGAATGAGCCCCACACTGTGCCACTTGGGAGATGGTGCCTCCAAGTCATCTGGTATGCCCAGGAGTCAGGCAGTTTGTGGTTAGAGCTGAAGGAAGGGCAAAGGAAGCATGTCCATCAGCCTATCAGGTTTCTCTTGTGGGAGGTGGTGAATTACCACCAGGTGGAGATGGGGAGGGAGGAAACAGATCAAAGAGGGAGAGAGCACTGATGATAAGGGAGAGGAGGACAATGAAGGAGGGGTGAGCACAGGAGAGACAAGAAAGGAAAATGGGAGGGTGCTCCAGATAGCTGAAATGAGGGAAGAAAGAGCAGGAAGGTGAGAGGCAGCTGGAGGATATGGTTGAAGGAGAGGAGGGATGGTGGGGTAAGGGTTTGGGATGTGGGTGACTGCAGATTAGGGTTTGAGGAGGGGTGGTCATAGAGTCAGGGTTGGAGGAGGGGAGAGGTTGGGATAAGAGTATATGGGCGTAGAATGGCTAATGGTGTCAGTGAGGGGGAGGGCTTCATCTCCGTTCTGCTGATCTCCCTGTATTCGCTTTAACTCTGCCTTTTGAAAGGGGAAAAGTCACAATTTTTGTTGCACATATCTGAGATTCAGTGTTATTCTGCCTCTTGAGATAAAAGACAGGAAAAGAGAGCTGCTTTCCTGCCCAGGGGCACAGGGCAAAGCAGACTGTCCATCTTCAGGAAGGTGTGCTAAGGCTGGGTTCCAGGTGGTCCTGGACAGGGCTGAGACACTCGAGGAGTCAGCATGGGCAAGCAGAGCCCCAGAACAGGGAAGAAGATCTCTGTTCTCGAGAGCCATGTCTCCAAGGGGGATCAGTGAGTCTGGGCAGGCAGGGTCTGTCTACCGGGTGCCCGGGCCTGCAGAGTTCACTTTGGGGGCCCCCGGGTCTGGGACAGGATTCTCTGCTCGAGCTTGGCGTACTTTGGGAGGAGGGCCTCGTAGACCTGGAGGGGCAGAAAGAGCAGTTTAGAATGGGATGCCTCATGCATCTGTATGCAACTTGCAGTTTTAAAATTTTACATCCCATTTACTATATGCTATTTATTTATTTTGCTGGCACAAAGAAAGGAGGCATTGATTTATGGAAAAGGAAATGAGAGTAGGTCTCAAACCTACAGTATACAAATGCCCTTTTTGAAAAAATGCAAATTGTGACCAGAAACCAATTTTTGTTATCAAATCCACAAAGCTTAAAAAAATTCTAAATGCTGGTAACTGGAAATTGCTGTCTCATTGCACAGTGGTGATGAAATGGTGGTGGAAGTTGGTGGTATGACTCTTTTGGAAATCAACTTGACTTTGTATTTGTATTGTTTCTGTACTATTGTTGTTAGCGGAATCAAACTGGCCCCCAACTCACAAAGACTCCATGCACAATGGGATTGGATAATTATAATCCACAGGGTTTTCACTGTCTGACTTTCAGAAGTAGATTACCAGGTCTTTCTTCCTAGCTTGTCTTAGTCTGGAAGCTCCACTGAAACCTCTTCAGCATCGCACCAACAAGCAAGCCTCCACTGACAGACAGGTGGTGGCTGCACATGAGTGAATTGAGCAGGAATCAAACCCAGGTCTTCCACATGGAAGGCAAAAATTCTACTCTAGGGCCACCACTGCCCTCATACCTGCAATAAACCAAAAACCAAATCCACTGCCACTAAGTTAATTTTGACTCATAGCAACCCGCATTGGGTCTCTGGGGCTGTAAATCTTTATGGAACTAGATTGCCCCATCTTCCTTCTGAGGAGTGGCTGGTGTGTTGAACTGCCAACCTTCTGGTTAGCAGTCAAATGCCTTAGGCACTGCACCACCAGAGCTCCTTCATACTTGCAATAAGGGGCTTGAAAATGTCCTGTGACCTAGTATTTTACTACTATGAAGTTCTCCTAAGGAAATAATCCTAAACGTAGGGTGCCTGGTTGTGAGCACCACTCAATATTCAGACTCAAGACTATCATGGGCCCCACATCTTGGTCCTCAGGATACACTCTAGAAACACAGTAAATTATAGTTCATTGACCAGATAGAATACTATGCAGTCATTAAAAATGTTTTATTGGGTACCAGGGGCAGGGGAGAGGGACAGGGAAATGGGACTGACTGCTTAGGAGATGCTGAGTGATGGAGAAAGCTGGAAATGGTGATGGTTGCATAACATGATGGCCACCATGTCATTAAATGATAAATGTGAAGAATGTTGAAATGGCAAATGTTTTGTTACATATGTATTTACAAAAAAATGAGTTAATAGGTATATACCCTAAAGAAGTGAGAGCCATAACAAGAACAGATATATGCACGCCCATGTTCATCGCAGCACTATTTACAATAGCCAAAACTTGGAAACAACCTAGATGTCCAACAACTGAGGAATGGATAACCAAACTTTGG